AGGATATTCTTGTTTCTGTCTTAAAGGCTGAGTAACTTTTTATAATGAGGGAGGATTAATGATTCCCCCCCCCCCAGGGATGGGCTGTCACCGCTGAGCAACTGCCAAAGCACACGGAGTGCCGAGGCCAGGGTTGGATGGGCCCTGGCATGTCCCCCCAGCCCCATCCACAGTCCTGGTGGCAACGTCTCTTCCCTACACATGGCTCCCCCGTGCCCTTTCCCTCCCAAAGCGTATTTGGGCCATGGTGGTGGCACCAAGGACAGGAAGAACAGGGGGTTCCTGTGTGGGACAACCTTGTCCCTGCACATGCATGTGCCGGGGTGTTATCGGGGTGTTATCACCCTTCCCCATGACCCCCATCCATGAGGGTTAAAGAGCTGCTGCCTCTGCAGCTGCAGGACACTGCCCCAGCCAGGAGATGGGCTCTCCTGTGCCTGTTTCCCTCTGGCGATCTGACATGAAGCCTGGGGGGGCAGTGGGTGGCAGGAGGAGAGAGAACATTCCCGCCGCCCCAGCGAGGGGACTTGGGAAAGGCCATGAAATCACTCCTCAAGTCACTGGCTCCAGGCTCAGCAGCCCACCAAAGCAGAGCTCCTGGCTGGCTCCCTAAATTTCCCAGAAGGAGAGGCCAGCACAGCGATGGGACAAGGTGTCCTGGAGCTGCCACCACCCTCAACCGCGCTCAGGTGTCACCCGGGGCCCAAAAACCCAAAGCGAAGGGAGTGGCTGCGCTCTCTGCCAGGCTCAAATTAGTGGCACCGAGATGGGTCATCCCCTGCCACGGCTTTAAAGGCACAAGTCATGCCAAGAAAAACAGCACATGGTGTCACCGGGAAGCCACTGAGCCTGGGGACACACAGGTCACTGTTCACGCTGCCAGGGGACGGGGACCTCCCCAGCTGGTGGCACCCCAGGGAAGCTGCAAGAGGGCAGCTCAGTCCCTGCCCGCTCTGGGGCCACATTGGTGCTCCATGTCGGTGCTGTGTCCCTGTCCCTGCACCCTGGTGGTGCCATGTGCCCCCCGCACTCCCCGGGCAGCATTTTGCAGCAGCCAGGGGAGGTGACAGGAGCCATTCCCCAGCTCTGTGTCACCTGCAGTAATAACACCCTGCCCTCCCTTTCATCTCGGGGCCTCCCTGGTGGCTCCTCTCCAGGGCGAGGGCATCCCGGAGGCATCACTCATCATCCATTCCGGGAGGCAGCCGGGGATGGGGCCGAGTCTGGGGATCCTGGATGGTGACACGGGGACCCAGGCTGAGAGCAGAGAGTGACAACAGAGTGACACCCTCATGGCACGCAGTGAACACAAGTGCTCACTGTGCACCCGTGCAAGTCCAACCTTGCCAGGACCAGCATGGGAAAACCACCTCCCTGGGCAACTGTGGCCACTCGGGGCCACCACAGCAGCTGGTGGCACAGCCCCAGGGACACGGGTCCCCCCTCAGTGAGGCTCTGGGGACAGCGAGCAGCAGTGGCACCTCTGGGATGGGCTGTGTGGGAGCGAGAGGAGCTGGACAGTGAGCCCGAGTGCCTGGGAGGGGTCCAGGAGCTGTGTTTGCCCAGGGAGGGTCTGGACAAGGCCACAGAGAAGGTCTCCACCTCCTAAACCCACAGCGGGCACGTGGAGGCGGGCGTGAGTGGGGATGGCAGCGTGGGCGTGGGGGTGGTGACAAGTGCGTGGGGACAGCAGCAGGGCGGGTGCTTGTGTGGAGATGGTGGCAAGTGCGTGCAGGGGGATGGCAGGGAAATGCATAGGGGCGGCTGGTGTCTGCGTGGGGACAGCTGACATCTGCGTGGGGACAGCTGTGTGCGTGGGGACAGCTCATGCCTGCGTGGGGACAGCTGTGTGTCCACGGGCACAGCTGCGTGTGTGCACAGGGCAGCCCGTGCGTGCCCGGTGAGAGCTGCCGTGGGCTTGGGGACAGCCCGCGTGCTCACGGGGACAGCCCGGGACACGGCTGACGTGAGCGCTGCCAGGGCGGCTGCCGTGGGAGCGGGGCAGGAGGAATGCCCCCACCCCGACACGGAGCACGGCTGCTCCCCCGGGGCGACACTGGGTGACGTTGGTGGCTCCGGGAGAAGGGCTTGGTCCCTCCTGCGCGCTCAGGGAGTTGGCACACACCCTGCGTAATGCCGAGTGGGACGGAGCCGGTCCCACGCGGGTCAGGCAGTCCGTGAGGTCTCTTCACCTCCAGGCTGGGCTTTCACCCCCTGCCCCGCTCCCCCGGCTCTTCCAGCCCTTTTCCCCACAGTTCCCCCACGGACCAGCCCACCACGGCCACGCGGGGCTGCCAAATGTTCCCAACGCCCCGGGGGGCTCAGCTCAGCTGGGGGTGTTCCACCTCTGCCCCCATCCGCCCTCCTGGCAGCCCCTGCCCCTTTCCGTGCCCCTGGAAATGCTTGGAATTCGGGAAGACCCCTGCTCCTCCCCGTGCACACGGCGGGGCGCGTTGCGGCTCCACCCCAGGCGGTTTCCCGGTGTCCCCTGGGCAGCCCCGGGATGCTGCCGACCCCAGATCCATGGGACAAATGACCCTGGCATCCCGAGACCCCTTCTCCCTGCACAGCCCCTGTCTCACCCTCGCATCCCCAAAGGGGCTTTGCCACCCTTGTGCCACCACCCGGGAGGCAGGATCCGCCCGCGTTTCACCCCAGGACCGTGATTATTCCTTAATTGCCAACAAAACAAACGAATAAAGCCCGGGCTGGCTCTTGCTGAGCTGGAAGGAAACGGCCTGGGTGCCATTCCCAGCGCTGAGTTCGCTGCCGGCGGCTCTCTGGGATAATCGTTTGGTGATGGATGTTAACGAGCAGCTCAGCCAGTCCGGCCGGAGCGCGTCAGCTCTTTTTAATGGCCCAATGTTTTCTCCGGAGCCGGCACCACGGCAACCTGTCCCTCTCGGCCCGTGGATGGCCCAGCTCATCGCCAGGACACCGGCTCGTCCCCCAAGGATCTGCAGTGCCCTGTCCATCCCATCGGCTCCATGGCCACATCCTGCCCCACCACACAGGGCTGTTGTGGCTGGTGGGGTCCCCCAAACCGCCCCACTCGAGGGGTGCTCAGCTCCCAGTCAGCCCCTTCCTCCTGCTGGATCCCCCCCAGCTGGATGGATTCTGATCTCTAAAGCTATTTGGCCCTTCTCAGAATCTTGGGAAACCCTTCCCGATCCAGCTTTGCTGCCGACAGCATCAAAGGGGTTTTGCAATGGGAGGCAGCTGCCTGATTTTCTAATCGAGTTCCTCGGAAAATCACTTTCCAGCAGGGCTCTCCTCCTCTTGTGCCCCAGTTCGGAGACTCGTGGGGGGTAACCAGGAGCAGCTTTTAATCCCACTGGAGATGCCTGGTGGAGTCATGGGATGACACAGGCGGAAGTCAGAGAGCAAAACACCTCGGCATGAGGAGCATCCCCAAGGGGGGATCCCAGCAGAGGGGATTCCAGCCCCCATGGGGACCCCAACAGCCCCCATGGAGGCTGCTCAGACTGCCCATCAGGGGATGGGGAGGATTTTGGAGGTGATAATGCTCGGGACACCCCGTGCCCCCTCTCCCCTCCAGCCTCAGCTGTGGATGCTCCTAAACACACCATTTCCCCCCAGATCCCTCAACGCTCAGTCACTCTTTCTGCTGCCAACTCCAGCTTCCAGCGGCAAACCCCTGGGATATGGGAGAGGCCTTGGCTTCAGAGACAGACTTTGCAGCTTGGAAGAGCTCTGCAAAGCCCCAGGGTGGGCGGGCGAGGGGTTTTCAGGGGAGCTCTCGCAACAAAAACCTGTGAGGGTGTAAAAATAAAATTGGGCTCGTGTCCCGACGGGGTTTGTAGCTTTTAAGAATGGATCCCAGCTCCAAGCAGGAACTGGGGAAAGGGAGCAGCAGCTGCAGATGCAGAGCCTGGAGTTGTGCCCATCCGTCCACGGGTCCGCAGGGCATCGGGCACCAGCTCGGCGGGGAGGCGCCTGCTGGGAACGTCTGCAGGGGGAGATGCTGCGGAGAAATGAGCTCTTTAAAGGGATGGGAACTGTTGGGATGAAAGGAAATGGGCTGCCAGAGGCTGGGGACATGTCTGGCCCCGGGAGGAGGCGGTGGCTTGGCTGGCAGCGAGGCCACGCGATGGGATTTAGGGGCTGGGGTTGAGGTCCCAGGGTTGGGAGAGCTCTGTCACCCCAGGGTGTCACCCCGGGGTGTGACCCTGTGTCTCCTGGGTGCCAGAGCTCCCTGGGGACGCTGCTGGCCTGGGGCAGCTGGGGGCAATGCACTGTGGGGCAACAGGATGTGGGGTATCAATGGGGCGTCAGATCATGGGGTATGAATGGGGCATCAGATTATGGGGCATCAATGGTATTAATGGGGCATCACATCACAGGGCATCAATGGGGCACCACTGATGGGGTGTCAGCTCATGAGGCATCAGTAGGGCAGTAGGGCATGGACAGCAGTGGGGCATCATCAGGGCATCAGATCATGGGGCATCAGTGGGCATCAGTGAAGAGCAATGGGCAGCAAAGAGCAATGGGCAGCAAAGAACATCAGCTGGGCATAAAAGGGACATCAAAGGGGCATCAGTGGGGCATTGGTGGGGCATCAGTGGGCATGAATTGGAATCAAAGGGTATCAAAGGAAATCAAATGGGCATCAATGGAGTATGAAGGGCCATCAGTGGGATATCGAAGCCCATCACTGGGGTACCAGAGGCCACCGGTGGGGTATCAATGGGATATCAAACCCCATCAATGGAGCTTCCCGACCAATCACCGCCGGGATTCCCGCGCGCCGGAGGGGCGGAGCTCCGCGCCCTTCGCCCCGCCCCCCTCCCCACCGTCCCGCCCCCTTTCCCCTCCCCTTCTCTCCGATTGGCTCCGGGCCCTGCCGCGCTCCTCCCCGCCGTGCCCGCGCTCGGGCCGGGATTGGCGGCAGGCCGGGCCAATGGGGCGCAGGCAGGGGCTATATAGGGCGCGGCGGGGCGCGGGCGGGCGCAGCGCTCGGCGGGGCCGGTGGCGGGCGGGGGGCGGACGGGCCGGTTCGGTTCGCTAAGAGTCCCTGCGGGCACCGACCGCGCCTCCCGCCGCGCCCCGCGCGCCCTCGCTTCGCCGGCGCCTCTCGGGGGGGACTCCTTTTTATACCTCTCCCTCCCTCCCCCCCCTTTTTAAATCTTCCCGTTTCCCCCTCCCCGCCCGCCTCTTCCGGCCGGTTTTCCAGGCTGTTTCCGGCTGGTTTTTCGGGCGGTGGTTTGTATCTTTATTATTTTTTTTTTTTTGTGGCGGGGAGAGGGGGCGGTCGGCGAGAGATGCTGGAGGTGGCGGCGGTGCCGGCGGGGGCCGCCGCGGGCGGGTCGGAGCAGCGCGGGAGCCGCTTCAGCGTCCTGACGTGGGAGCAGGTGCAGCGGCTGGACCAGATCCTGGGGGAGGCTGTGCCCATCCACGGCCGGGGCAACTTCCCCACGCTGTCCGTGCGGCCCCGCACCATCGTCCAGGTGAGCGCCGGGGCGGCCGGGGGTGTAAAATTGGGGGGGACACACACGGGCCGGGCGCTGTCGCCCCATTGGACTCTGCCCCGTCCCAGCGGGGGTCAGGGAGAAAATAAAAAGTGCTGAGGCGACATTAATCGTCCCCGTCGGGCCCCGAGCCAAGCCGCCCGGGCACCCTCGGCCTCCCCCCGCGCCGGGCCCAGGGCAGGGCTCCCGGCGCGGGGATCGTGGAACGCTCTGGGCTGCGGGGCAGCTTAAACACCGTGAGTACCCCGCGCTGGAAGGGACTCGCAAGGATCAGCCCATCCCAGCCCCCCCAGCTCTGCACGGCATAGCCCTCGGAAATCCCACCCTGTCTCTCAGAGCGTTGTCAAGACGCTGCTTGGCCTCCGGCACGCCTGGGATTCGGGAAGACCGTTTCATTCCAAGCCCCTACCCCTATTCCAACACCTTCCACTAGATCAGGTTGCTCCAAGCTCTGTCCAGCCTGGCCTGGATGCTCCAGGGGGGGTTAAAAGCTGCATGGGGGGGACTGACCCCCATCATCCGGGGGGTGCTGTGCACTCAGCTGGCCCCACTTCCCCGTCCTGAGGGTCTCGGTGGGGGCTGGCAGGAATTCTTTGCGCTGCAGAAATGTCTAAAGCTGGAAGGACCCTCCTGGAAAACTCGCATGCCTGTAAAATGCATTCCCCCCTGCTGGAGCTGCTGCAGCTTGTGCCACAGATCCCGCTCAGCTTCCTCCCATCTTGTGTTGTTCCTCCTCTTTTCGAGTTAATTTGGTGCCCTAAGAGCTGTGAAACGTGTGTGGCCGAGGCAAAAGTGGCTTCTTTTTTTTTTGGAGCTGCTTCCACGAAATGGCTTCGTGCTTGGTGGACATGTTGGGCTTGTGTTGGAAGAGGCATTTATTAATTCAAGTGCCGGATCAAATGTCCGTGTCCTTTGATTTCTCGGGACAGTGGTGTATCCTCCAGAGCCTGCCCGAGACTTCACGAGCTCCTGTTAGTTTAACCATCAAGTAATAACCGTGTTTAATATTAAACTAACAATGTAGTTCGAATGAGCTGATGCATATTCATGTTTGGGAGGCGACTTTCATTCCTCAGTAATGACTCATCAAATGTAAAATCGGGCATGTTGGCTTCTAATTAAAAAGCCTATTCACGGCGCTAAAACCCAACTGGCTTTCACAATAACCTAATCACCGGGATTTCGGAGCCTCAGCTGCTTGAGAAATAGTTCGAGCTAAGCCTGGAAGATGGGAAGGTGACATTTGAAAGGCTCGGCTGGTTTTAAATTCCTCGAGTTCCTGCCGCATCTGTTGGGGGCAGAAGCGCTAAATTTTGGCCGCTCGGGCTTTTAAGCTGAACGGCAGATGAGATTTGCAGGCAGGACGCTGCCCTTGGCTTGGGCAAGACCGCAGCACCGTGCAGCATCAAATATTCCACCAGTTACTCCTCTCTGGTTCCACAGAAACTGCGCCGATTCGGTGTCGGAGCTGCCGAAAAGGATGTTGCCAGTAGCAACTTCAAACATGGAATAACTGAGGGATGTAATTGTGCCCGGCCGTGCTGGCAGACCCTGTGTTTAGGGCTGACTAAGCTGGAACAAGTAACCCAAAAGGCAGTTATTTATCCTGTTGTTGTTGTTGTGGGAGGTGGGAAGCGGCAGGTCAGGACGCAGCAGGATTTGCTCCCGCCTGGCTGTCAGAGTCAATTATCCCAACCACACGGAAGGTGAGGTGCTGTTTTGGGAAGCAGGTCAGCAGCTGCCTAACCCTAGAAATATCCAACCCTCTGGGGGAAAAAATGCATCCCTGAACCCACTGCCTGCAGCTGGGCAGCTGAGCTCCCAGGTGGAAGCTCCCAGGGAATGGCAAGGTGCTCTGCAGGCTGGAGCTTCCTGGGGTGACTTGGGACAAAGCTGACTGGAGCAGTTGGATTTGTCCCCCGTTTTCTGAATACATCTCACAGGGACAGACCTGGGGAGCTCAAGTAAGCCCAGAGCTTATGGGCCTGAAACGCTGCAGGTCCTGAGCTTTGCTCGGAAAGGGGTTAAGCAGATGTTCTCTAGGGTTAGGAAATTAATCTGGAACGAGATCTTCTCCAAGCACTGGGCCTGGCTCTGCATCTAACACTTTTGTGACCTATATCTTGTCTCTCTAAGCCTAATAGCACAAAACTCTTAACTCCACGAGTAGTGCTGGAGCCGTGCCCCGGGTGAGTGACTCCAGTTGGCAGCAGATGCAGGCCAGGAGCTCCCCTGCATGATGTTTGTTCAATTTGGGGGATTAACCCTGTGCCTCTTCTTCTAGGAGTAAACTTAATGGGTTTGGGTTTGTTTTTTTTTTTTCAAACTATCTGCCTTGGAAAGCAACTTCTTTCACTGGCTGGATTGGATGTGCTGGTGGGGGGACCTGGGACTTCTGATGGTGAATAGCTCCCTGGTTAACTGTTGCCTGACATGTGACTGTCACCACGGGCTTGGCAAGGAGCCCAGGCATGCTTCTAGCCTGAGCAGGGATGGCTCGTGTCAGGGAGAAAAGGGAAACACCAGCAGGGAAGCTGCATCGTGAGCCTGAGCAACCTCTAAGTGCAAAAACATCCATGGGGTTGTTCTGAGATCTTGTTTTGGGGTTTTTTTTGCAGAGGCAGCAGAACTTGCTGGCGCCCCTTAGTTTGGTCTCAAGGGGTCTGTGACAGGGTGAGGGTTTCACGCTGCAGTTCTCCACTTTTTGTGTGTTCTTCTTTCTAAACCAAACTCGTGGAGGGGCAGTTTTACAGCTGCTGAGGCCGGAGCTGCAGCGCCCTGAATCTCCCCCAGCACTGTCTGCTCAACCAACAAGAGGGTTTGGCCCTTCTGATCGAGTTCCGAATTAAAATTCGGATTCTGGGAGGCCGAAAACCAGAATTGGCGGGGCCTCTCAAACTGGGGCAGCCTCGCAGAGCTGAAGGGCCTGGTTGGACTGGCTCTTGGTGATACAATTTGTCCATTTGTGTCCCAAGCTTTGGCTCTTTCAAGCCGTAGCCCTGCTTCAGGCTGGTTAGCTGGGACTCCCAGGAAAATGGGTAATTGCTGCTGGAGAGGAACATGAAAGCAGGATGAGAGGTGGGAAGAGCTTCTGGTGGAAGATGTGGACTTAATCTTCCTGGGATCTTTGAGCTGAGTTAAACTCAAATTATAAGCTGGTGTCCAGAGCGTTTATTTCATGGTCTTGGGGGTTATTTTAGCCTCCTGCTTGTTAAGTAATCAGGCAGGTGATTCAGCTTCCCTCTAAATGAACAAAGCTTTGGAGGGACTGGTGGGTGTGCCAGGACTGAGCAGGCAGCATTAAAATCACCGGAGTAACACCCGTAAGATGAAAGCTGCCTCTTGCGCTTGATAGCACGCCAAGCTCAGCACGAAGCTCTGACACACTGGAAATTGTTAGGATACACTTACTAGTTGGGACATGAACTTGCATACGCCTGGCTGGGGCTTTTGAGCAGTTCTGGCATCTTGATTTGCCTTTAATGAGTCTTGACAGGCCGAAGGGGATGGCTAAAAGGAGTGAGCCACCCTGATTAAATCCACTGGGACTGCTGCAGACTGTGCTGCTGCCTCTCTGTTTGGGGTCAGTTTGGGGTTGGCTGGTCTTGGCTTGCTGGCTGGAACGGTGAGGGGATGAAGGGGGCAGAGACCACCCCAAAAAATGGGGTCAGGGAACCTCTCCCCTTCAGCGTGGGGAAGGCAGGGGAGAGCAGACACTGCGCTGGAAGCAGAACAGCTCATCATGTGCAGTCAGATCCCTCTAATGCGAGGGAATAAGTAAAGGAGAGCCACCCCCAGCTGCTGGCAGGACTTGGGATGCTTTCCAAAGTGACCTATTTCTAATGGATTAGCTTTTTATTTCATTGTCTTGCACTGGAGTGACCCATATAAGCCCAGGGAGTGAATCCTGCTGTCACCAGGCTGCTCCAAAAATTCCTGCTTGCCTCTCACCGTCTCTCTTTATGTCTCAGGTTGTCCGTAGCCGCCTGGAGAAGAAAGGAATCACAGTCCATAACGTCAGGTTGAACGGCTCAGCAGCCAGTCACGTTCTGCATCAAGACAGTGGCTTGGGGTACAAAGACCTGGACCTCATTTTCGGTGTGGACCTGAAGACAGAAGACGTTTTCCAGCTCGTCAAAGACGTGGTCATGGATTGCCTGCTCGACTTCCTCCCCGAGGGGGTCAACAAGGACAAGATCACCCCCATGACTCTGAAGGAGGCCTATGTGCAGAAGCTGGTGAAGGTGTGCAACGAGACCGACCGCTGGAGCCTCATCTCGCTCTCCAACAACAGCGGGAAGAACGTGGAGCTCAAATTCGTGGACTCCCTCCGGCGGCAGTTCGAGTTCAGCGTGGACTCCTTCCAGATCATCCTGGACTCGCTCCTGCTCTTCGGGGAGTGCTCGGAGAACCCCATGGCCGAGAACTTCCACCCCACGGTCACCGGGGAGAGCATGTACGGGGACTTCGAGGAGGCCATGGACCACCTGCGGAACAGGGTCATCGCCACCAGGAACCCCGAGGAGATCAGGGGAGGGGGGCTCCTGAAGTACTGCAACCTCCTGGTGAGGGGGTTTAAGCCCAAGTCGGAGGTGGATATGAAGGCACTACAGAGGTACATGTGCTCCAGGTTTTTCATAGACTTCTCTGACATCGGCGAGCAGCTGAGGAAGCTGGAATGTTACCTCCAGAGCCACTTTGTTGGGATGGAGAGCAACAGATATGACTATTTGATGACCCTCCACAGGGTGGTCAATGAGAGCACAGTCTGCCTCATGGGACACGAGAGGAGGCAGACCCTGAACCTCATTGCCATGCTGGCTGTGAGGGTCCTGGCTGAGCAGAACATCATCCCCACCGTCACAAACGTTACCTGCTACTACCAGCCAGCCCCTTATGTCAGTGAAATAAACTTCAACTACTATGTCACCCACGTGCAGCCCTTCCTGCCTTGCAATCAGTCCTACCCAACGTGGCTTCCCTGTAACTGAGCCAGGACAAACGTCAGGGTCTGTCCTCCAAGGTATTTCCTTGCCTTGGCGGGTCGGGAGGGTGGGATGGGGGGGATAAAAAACAAAACAAACAAACAAAAAACACCAACCAACCTTCCTAGAACTGCAACAAAAGGAAACTTCCTGGACTCTTGCTTGAGTGTCTTGTTCCTGGGGTTGTTGGGACAAGACCTGTCTGCTGTACACTGTGATGGGAAGTGCAGTGTCATGGAAATGAGATGACTCGGGGATGTTTATGGGAGGACTCATGGAATTCTGGAAGGCAATGGGGTGGGTGGGGGTGTGTGAGGGGAGACTGTAGAATTACGCTAAGGTAGAGCTGCACTGCCCTGAAATGGATCTGAATTGTGTTTTGTTTTGTTTTTCTTTTTTTGTTTTTCTTTTTTCTCTTTTTTTTTTTTTTTAGTGCAGGAGGTGTTATGGGTGTGCAAACTTGTGGTTTCTGCCAACAGAAGCCCGAGTGGCTAATTCCTTTGAAGGACCAAAGAATCCTGTTTAAGTGCCTGTAACAATATAAACACAACTGTACTGTAAACCTTTATTATTTTTGCAGGGGCTGATGTCCCAAGAGCTTGAGTGGGGAATGTCTGAAGAGGAAAATGTTTCTGTTGCGGGGTGGGGAGGGTCGTGAGATCATTTCTAGTAACCTGGCTGAGGTTCTGTGTCGCTGAGGTTTGTTGTGTGTGGTTTTTTTTTTTCTTCTGGCATGACTTGCTGCCTATGAAGGACCAGCTGGAGCAAAGAGCTGTCAAAGTGGGGCTGCATAAACCAGGGAGGTATTGGAATGGCTAAGTGTAAATGCCTGAAACTGGGAACAGTGGGGAAGGGGGGGAGTGCATGGTGGAAAATGCTGTGCAGAGCTTTCTGGAAAAAGAGGCAGCAGGGACCTGGATACGAATTCCTTCAAGCTCCCAAGTCTGCAGTGCCAAAACATGGCTGTGTTCCTAAATGGCGAGGCAGATGATCTGTCCAGGAGCCTGCCCCAGGCTGCTGTACCTAATCCTGTATTTTCTAGGGGAATTTGAAATGCTGCTCTTCCTATTTTTTTTTTTTTTTTTTTTTTTTTTTTTTTTTTGGCATGCAGTGTGGTTTTAATGCACAAAGCCAGAGGCCAGCTGGGTTATGGGGGAAGATGAGGCTTGTCATTTTGAAGCACAAACCACCCAGTTGAGTAGTCAGTTGTTTCCAGCTGTTGCTGGAGCCTGTGTCCTCCGAGGAGATGGGCAGAGCTCTTCCAGTCTGGAGATCTTCCCTTGGGCAGGTCCTATCTTCCAAAGCAGCCTGTTCCCAGCTATGTGATTCCATCAGCATTTGAAATTCATTCTCTAGCTAGAAATGGAGCTTGGATGGGGGGTGGGGGTGAAGTTAGTTGGCCTTAAGGAAAGGGGAGGGGGGGGAAGAAAACAAAAGAAAAAAAAAAGTCTTCTAAACAGACCCTCTTGTGTTGTGAGGGTTTGGCTCTTTCAGTCCAACGTGGCTTTGAAGTTGTTGGGTGTCTGGAGCACAGAAGTTTTTCATGGAGGTGCCTGCATGGCCGTGCCCGGGGAGCATCTCAGATCTAACTATGCACGGGGGGAGAGGCGGGCAGGCAGCGGGCACTCCCTAGGGATGCTGCTCCGGGAACACCACGGCTTCAGTGGTGCTTCCTCCGAGGCTGAGGTACTCGAAGTATCTTTTATTAACTTGGGGTGGGGTTTTTTTTGTTTGTTTGTTTGTTTTGGTTTTGGTTTTTTGCCCTTTTTTTTTTTTGTGACAAAACTGTAATAGCTGGGCAGATTGAACGCTCTTAATAAAGATAGATCCTTGGAATGTGCATAGCCAGATTGGTACCTTTCTTGGGGTAGGGGCGATGTGGAGTTGGGGAGTAAAGGGTGGGGGGTGGATCTTGTGCTTAACACGAACTAACCCAGTGGAAACTGGCCCAGCTTTGCTCCCTCTCCAGTCAGAGCTGGGGAAGTGTCACTAACAGTGTAGGTTTTTTAGCTGCCTCCATGCAGAACAGCTCTGCCTTCCTGGCCAAGCCTGTCGTGTGGGCTCTGCTGCAGCCCCTAACTCCCCAGAGCCTCAGGGGTGGGAAGCTTGAGATTTTTCCAGTGCAAGGTAAATAAAACTGGTTTTAAGGGCTGCTTTTTGGGAGCAGATGATACTTTTTCTTTTGTTTTAAACTTCAGATGAACAGAGATGCCATGTAAGCATGTTTTCTACGGGCTGCTCCTGCCCACAGGCACGCTAAATTGAGATTCCCTCCTTCCCCCTGAGATGTCCAAAAAGATTCCCTACAGCCAACAGCTCGGCAGGGAGACTTCCCATTGAGATTGCACTTTTGATTTACGGAGTGTGTGTGGTGGGACTCTTGTGAATGGGTTGAATCTGACTTTTTCTAGACCTTGCAGTGATACTGTGCTGCCTCCTGTGAGGGGGCAATTGGAAGATTCCAGTAGCTTGAATGGCACTTGATTTATTTTTTTTGTTTTGTTTTAAATGTCTTTTTTTTTTTCCTACACCTGTATCACTTGTCATGCAATGGGCTTGACATAGACTCACTAGATTCTTTAGAATCTGTTACGAATAAATACAGTGTATTCAAATCTGTTGGGTTATTTTTATTTGCTTGTCCAAGTCGGGGGAGTGTGGTGATGAGGTGACTCTGCTCCCAGCCAAAAATCAACGGGTGACCTCGAAAGGAGTGAGCTGAGATCCTGGTCCTGGATCTGCCCAGATGCTGCTTGTACCTCAGGCTGCTCCATCCCTCTCTCCGAAGCAGCTACAAATCCCAGGAATTGTGTAGCTGTTGGCAGGTCGCTCCTGCAGCTGAGGGAGGTTTCTATTTATAACACTGTTCTTTAGTGTTGTGCATCTTCCCTTTTCCTGGTGCTCCTCATGTTGCTGGAGGTGGGGGGGGGAGGGTGGCCCGAGGTGGTGATCTGAGGTCCCTGCTGGGGGAATGGCACTGGGAGGCTCTCCCTGCTGGTTTTCCACGGCTTCATTCCCTGCTGGTTGGTTGTGAACAGCGAAAGGTGGTTTGAGTAGTTAAGGCTTGGATACTGTGTGTGGCTGACCCACCTGCAGGGTGGTTCCTCTTGGAAAAGGGGAGGGTGAGAGGCTCTGGAAGGCTTATCTCCCAAAAAAAAGCTGGTTTCTGCTGATGTTCAGGCCAGATTCCCGTGGGATGGCTGGCAGCTGGGTGCGAGCTCCTCCAGCTCTGGCTGCCCTCCAGCCCAAGATGAAGTTTCACTTCCCCTTGTCAAGCTACAGGCAGTTCTGGTTCCACTGCAACAATGGAGCTGACGAGGTGCCAGTCCCTCTTTGGGACAAACTTGCTGGCTCTGCATCTCCAAATTTTTACAGTCCGGGGGCCAAAGCTTCCCTCTGACAACAGGGCTGGGATGTTCTCACTGGGCTGGCACTGTGTGAGTCCCTGCTGCCTGCTCGAGCAGGGCTCTGCCTTTGCAGAGCTGATTTCTCTCCAAACCTGCTGGGTTTAGAGATGTTTCCCCCTCCCTGGCACAAGCCCAGCACGCTCTCCTGCCTTCCCCTGAGCGTCTCTCGTGTGTGGAAGCAGCTCTAAAGTATCTTAGTCCATCAGCTGTCTTCAGTGTGGGTGGTTGGTCCTGCTGTTGATGCTGTGGTGAATAAGCTGCCTCTGGATTTGTGACCCTGAGTAGAGCAGCAAAAGCCCTGACAGAGTCGGCTCAGCATTGTTGGAGCGGATCAGACCATACAAAAGGATGTTGGTGGAAAGTACTAGTTGTGATCAGAAAGGAGCTATCAATGTTTACAGCCGAGATTCGGATCCCTCTTTTGTTAATTGTCAAATAAAAAAAAACACCTATATATTTTCTCACAGCCTGTAGTCTGTCATTATTTTCCTCTCTGAGGCAGAGGGCGAGGGATAAGTCAGGGTGTGCCTGAGGGGTCTGCTGGGTGAGATTTGGGCTCTAGTGACGCTTGGTGCTCCAGTGCTTGGCTCTGAAGCTCTGCTCTGAGGGCAGACGTGTGCTGGGGTGGCTGCTCCTTTATAGTAGCTGTCTATAAATACAGCTCCCTATATTTAGCCCCGTGGTCTGGGCAGTGCCCAGCTCGGATAACCAGAGTCAGGAGCAGAGGAGCCCACGCCACAGCCCGTGGTACAGTACAGCACGTGCCCACAGCACCTCTGCAAAGGGCTGCTGTGCCATCAACGCCTGGAGACGCGTCCAAAAATACTCGGCCGGCGTTTGTAGCAGCGAGATCACTCCCGGGGCTGGCGATGCGGGTTTTACATCTGCAGCTTTTTTCTCCTGGAAGGACATCTGGCCTCGCTCCAGAACCACTGAAACGGCAGGAATTTGTCTTGACTCCAGAATGCAAGAAGCATCTTGCTCCAACCTCCCTGCTCCCAGCCGTCCTTAATCTGCTGGCCCGGTGCCGAGGGTGGCACCAGCTCTGTGCAGGCGGCTTGCTAGACCCAGCATGGCATTTAAATTTTATTTTAATCTCTCTATTTAGCTTTTTTTCTTCTTCCCCTTGCAGCGTGCCAGCGTTTCTCCCCGGCTGCCCTTCTCCTCCTCCTCCTCCTCCTCCTCGGGAGCCGCTCGGGCAGCGCGGGTGTTAACTGTGCCATTCGAGCTCCTGCAGCATGAGAGAACAGTCTGTCTGTGCAGCTCCTCTTGCCATTTATAGCTGTGTTTGGGCGATCCAGCACACGGGCCCTTGTGCTCCAGAGCCTGGTGCCAAGCACGAGACAAATGCTCCATTGATATTGGACGTTCCGGGAGGGCAGTTCGCTCTCGGGAACGGGGCTGAGCTGCCGGAGGATGGCACAGCCCACCCTGCCTGGTCCTGAGCCTTGGGGGGATGGCACAGCCCACCCTGCCTGGTCCTGAGCCTTGGGGGGATGGCACTGCCCATCCTGTCTGGTCCTGAGCCTTGTGGGGGTGAGGGCTGATGGTGGGGAAGCATCTGGTGCTCTGTCACTGAATCCTCCAATCTTACCTCCTGGCGCTGCTGCTGGAGGTTCTGGTTGGGGCTTTTCTACTCCAAGCAGGATTTCGGCTCGTGTTGGACACATGGAATGCCCTGGGTTGGAAGGGAACCACGTGGATCATCAAGGACAACCCCAGCCTTGTCTCCAAGCACTTCTTGACCTCTGGCAGACTTGGTGCTGTGACCACTTCCCTGGGAAACCTGTTCCAGGGCCCAACCACCCTCTGGGTGAAGAACCTTTTGTGTGCAGAGGTGGAGGAGCATTGAAAAGGCTTTTTTTTCCTCTGTACATGCAGTATTTGCACTGTTCAGCTCCAAACACAGGTTGCCACAGACCTTTTGGCTGTTGGCTCCGTGATTTCCCTGACTCAACCGCCTTCTCCCACCTCTGACTTCTTGCATCCAGCCTGGCATGAGCAGCTCAGGCGTTCCCTTCCCTCCCGAGCCATCTCAAGGAGAGATCAGCTCATGCAGAGCCTCTTGCCTGCTCCACAGCATTCCAGCTTCCCCTAAAATCCCAGTGTGCCTGCTCTTCCCTGCTCCTTTTGGAAGGAGTGAGCCCTGCTTGCCGAGCTGCTCCCTCACCTGGGTGGATCCCCGAGCCTGGGCACCCATTTCAGCTTGTAGAATCATGACAAATTTGATTAAAATCCTCTGCTGGCATCCCGAGGTGTTCAGGGGAATGATTGGCAACCGTCACGAAGGCGTTTCCTTAAGGAAGGAGGAAAAGGAGTCAATTGTCTTCTCGCTGCAGCCTCGAGGTGTTGCACAACCGAGGCTGTGACACGAACCAAGGACGGGGTGTCCTTGCACCCCCCTGCCCCGACCCACCGCACATCCCATCGGCGATGCCAAGGGGAAACAACGACATTCCCAGGAGAGACGAGGGACTGTGGGTGGGACGGTGGCTCTGGAGACAGGCGTGAGGCTGGAGCGGCGCCCGGGGCGGCGCAGGGCGGTGTGTGATGTGTTATCTCTCCCTCCCGTACAAGCGAGAACACGCATCTTCCCTCCCAGCAGCTCTCATCGTTCTTTCCGAGCGCCGTAACCATTCCCACCTCTCCCTCCCGGCCGGGAGGTTTCCCTTTGGCGGCGGATGAGGACGAAGCCCTTCACGGGGCCGGCTGGCTGGGGTGGTTGATCATTGCCCTCTCCACCACCAGGGTGTATTTACCCTCCTTATCTTGCCGCTATCAAGGGTTCAGCAAGAGCAGTGTCACCCTGCCTTCAAAGGAAAAGCCACCAGCGCGCAGCGCGTCCCCCAGGGTGTTTGTGTGGCCCATATTTTTGCCTTGTAATCCAAGGAGGGGCTGGATGCAGGACACCCCTCCAGCCCTCCTCCCTTCCCTCCCCTCGTAGCCGGCGTGGCT